GTGACACGGATGGAGGCCCAGGGCCCCTGCAGGTCTCGTGGGGCCCGTACTGCTGGCCCAGGACACACTCTGGGACCACGCAACTTGTGTGGCTCCGCCTGACGGCACAGCACAGAGTGCCAGTGACAGAGGAGTGACGATGCAATACCCACATCTGCCGCTGGCCAAAGATCTTTGATGACAGTTTCGATCCGTCTGACCACTTCTCTTCGCATGGCTGCTTCCTCAGGACAAGGGGACATGAAGTTATAAAAGTCAACTATCTCCTCGTGAAGCCTAAGGAACGAGAGAAAACAGAGCGGTTACACGACGCGGAGCCTCACTGCTTGCTGCTGTCAGACCCGGGAGACACCCGGCGGCCGTCTCGCTCCTGGAAATCTGCAGGGGGACGAGCCTGGTGAGCAGCTGTGAGTGTCGGCCACACACGTGCCACACGCTGTAATGGCACTTACAGTGACTAACCTCAAAGGTCATCTGGTGACTTCACGTTAAGGGGGAAAAAGAAATCAAATGAAAAAAATGAGCGCTCAAATGAAAAACACGGAGGATTCTACGCATGAGCTAAGCACAGGTTCCCGTCTGAGCCCCAATGAAGACCTTCCCATAACCTAGACCCTGGCCCACCAGAAGCACTGCCTTGCTCACGGGGGTATGCCCGGGTCAGAGCGACGGACGATGTGTGGCAGAGGGGAGGGCAGGGGTGCTCAAGGCAGTAAGACGCACTTGCCCTTGACTGGATGGTAGCCCCTGGCCTTCACATTGGGGTTTGCCCTACCAGGCCCCCGCACATCTCCCTGAATACAGTGTCGCCGTCATACTGTGCTACAGGGAAGGGGTCAGGTGAGGAAGCTGGCTTACTTGATGTCGGCTCTGTTCTCTGTATAACCCAGGGTGGGTGAGACTGGGTCCATGTCTAGCTTCTTGGTGCTTTCAGGAGAGTAGAGCTGACTGGACACCCCACCCAGCACTGCCACCCACGAGGGCCAGCGGCCAGCCCTCAGGAAGCTGAG